ACCTGGTCAAGGTTGCGGGAGCGTCCTGGATGCGGGTGGCACAAGATCGGTCATCGTGGCGATCTTTGGGGGAGGCCTATGCCCAGCAGTGGGCGTCTCATGGCTGAGAGTAGTAGTAGTAGTAGTAATTACACATCTGCTTTTTTCTGAACTATTTTTTTTCTTCCTTAATTTTTACTAGAAAAATATTTTATTCACAAAAAAAAAATTAAAGTGAAATCGAACTATAGATGGATCAGATCACAGAAAAACAATAAAATAAAATTTATCGTCCATTTCTTAAATTGATATTCATAAATGATAACCGACTGTATTTATATTACGAATAAAATTTTAAATACAAAATTATTCGCCATAAACAATAATTTAAACGCGAAACGCAATCGTCAAATAAATTATATTAAATTGCCTCTATAATCGTTTTTCCGAATACATCCGTGTTTTCCGACTGTATAAATATTAAAATATCGATTATGTCTCGATTCAGAACGTCCATGTTTATTCATCATATAATATATAATAATATAGCTCGATTATAAGAATAAAATGCTTTTGTAATAATTACAGTGCCTTATAGAAATTACATTCGTTACAAACTTTACAAAAAAACACTAAATAAAGGATTTCAAAACAACTTGAGCTGAATTTCTCTAAACTAATCTTGCAATTGTAATTTACAATTATTTGTTACAATTTGGTCCTTGATTTTATTTCAATAAATTAATTTTCAAAATATGTATTATCATGTTTGATGTATGACATGTGTGTTGTTGTTATTTCACCTTTGACAATTGTTCCATTGTTAAAAAAGAATAGGAATTAATAAAGACATTCTCATCGTATAACATTTTTTAACCATAAATGGAACTTGTAAAGAATTGTGTACAAAGTAAAACATTAAAATGCACTTAAAGTTGACGTAATATATTCATTAAAAATTAAAAAATAATCCTGAAATTACCAATTTATTTTTCTTCTTTGAGAATATAGTCACACATACGTCCAGTCTATATTTCTATATGTATTTTTTCTTTTTATTTATCATTGTTATATGTTATTTACTGTTATTATAAAATATGTTATCGTGTAAACTGTTATGTAAAGTGTGTATAGTGTCAAATTGGTTGTATACTGTAATGATGCTATGCAGTTTTTAAATAAATAAATATTTTTATGTTTTCATACTATGACCACAGACAAGCTTATTTATAATTAAATGCAAGCTCACTAATTCTATCAGTTAAATCATTCAATTAAATATATAAATTTT